GAGATTAAAGTTGGCATCTCCTACAAGCTCAATGGGAAGAGGATTCCTTATTTCCCGGGTATGTGAAGCGAGCAAGCCTGGGTTTTCCTGGCTGTTGGGACACTTCCTGGGTACCAGAAGAAAGGCATCCTGTGGTTTCTGGGTGACTAGGGGAGGGGCTTCAGGGACCTGGTTTGGATTCCTTAGCTTCTTGGAGAGGCCTGGCCCATTTCTCAACAGCTTTAGGTCTTTTGGTCGTTTGGAAATGCCTTAGGGGACAGTGCTGAAAGGCAGCGAGAGCTTACCCTAGGTTCTTGGGGACCCTCACTAACCTCAGCAAGGCCTACTTCCAGGAAGAGCGATACCCTGGAAAATCTGCTTCTCTGAAAAACCCAGAACTCTATGAAAATGTAAACAGTGGCATTTTGGCCAAGAAAATATGTTCTGTGGGCAGATTCTTTGTCTTGTTTTGTTTGAGACATGGTCTTACTATGTAGCCCAGGCTGGCTTTAAACTCAGAGATCTACCAGCCTCTGCCTCTTGAATGCTGGAATTAACAGTGTGCACCACCACTTGGCAGTAGATTCATTTTTATTTTCTGGAGCTGGGGATGGAACTCGGCCTCACCTATGCCAAGCAGGTGCTCTGCCACTGAACCCCGGGGGATATTTAAGAATCCAGCTAGCCATCACTTCTTTTGTTAATCACAAAGATAGTATTTTCCTGGACTTCAGTTTCTTGTACCCCTGGAATGTACCCCTCAATCTCAAGCCAGGGGCCTTACCAGCTCCCTAACGTTTTCCTCCCTGAAGCCCACTATGGGCAGATAGACCCAGAAGTGTCCCTTGGCTGGAGGGGCCATGTGCATCCTCAAGGACAGGGCCTCTGACCTTGACAGGGCATAGCCTCAAGCCCTAGTGGTTCAGGGTTCTGTGGTAATGCAGCGCTCCCAGGGAAGACACTGCCTGGCTCCCCTCATGGGGGAGCCTACTCCAGCTTCTTCCATCAGCACAGGGCAAGGCATCCACTGAGAGCTATGGAGTCACAGCACAAAGCTGCAGGGTGACTTCTCAGACAGGAGGGGGTCATGTACCCTTAATGATGCTTTAGGATTCTAGAGTCTCATAATTTCTAGCAGTACAGAGTTCCTCTATTGGAATCCTGTGGACACTCAGGACAGCAGTAGCGAGCCAGTCTAGCCATGCTCCCTGGCTGGAAGGGGCACAGCCAGTGTCTGAGCCCCACTGCCATTCTCTGCTCACTGCCCAATAAAAAACCAGCAGAGCCACTTGTCCTCTCTAGCCTGCCACCGTCATCAGGTCAGGAGACAAGTCTCCTATAGTAGGACAGTCTGTGGGACTCTGATGATCCCACCCCCTCCCATTCCCCAGCTAACCAGGAGATACTTCAGAAGGTGGAAGTGGAATATGAAACACTGCCAGGGTGGAAAGCAGACACCACAGGTGCCAGGAAGTGGGAGGACCTGCCCCCACAGGCCCAGAGCTACGTGCGGTTTGTGGAGAATCACTTGGGTGTTGCAGGTGGGTACCCTGAGGTTATCCCCCACATCCTACAATCTGGACCTTGGATACCCCCAAGGAGCCCATGTCCCAGCACAAGATCTAGTGAGAAATAATGAACCCAGGTGGTAACCACGTGAACGTGGCAGGCAAGGAGAGTGGAGCTGAGGACAGGTGCCATCTGGAGAAGGTCATGTCCACAGCTCCAGCCAGGGTGAGGCCCAGTGGCCCTGCCCAGGGTGCAGAAGGGCAGGCAGGGCCTACCCACCCTGTGACTACTGACTCCGTCATACAGAGATGGTTCAGGTGTGGCTCACGGAAGGAGCAAGTCATGGGTTAGGGTTAGGGTTAGGGTTAGAATACTCCATTCTGTGAACTAAGAGCCCCTTTGCCAGCTGAATGGAATACATAAGAAAATGTGATGTTAAGGAATGTGTTGTAATGCATGTGCATAAATGTGTGCCTATCGGTGAGTGTGTAGGTGGACACGTATGTGTGTGGAGGCCAGAGAACAACCTCAGGTGTCATCCTCAGGTCCACTGTCCGCCTCCTTTGGACATAGGGTCTCTCAATGTCCTGGAGCTCAGCAAGTAGGCTAGAGTAGCTGGCCAGTGAGCCCCCGGGGCTCCTCCTGCCTCTGCTGCCCAGAGTTGGGATTACAAGTACATGCCACCAGGCCAGCATTTTCACCTGGGTTCTTGGGATTGAACTCAGGACCTTGTGCTTAAAAAGCAAGCAGTTTACTGACAGAGCTGTCTCCCTAGCCCCGAGGAACATTTTGTTCATGAGCTGCTCTTTGTTGACCTTTCAGTCAAATGGGTCGGTGTTGGAAAGTCCAGAGAGTCCATGATCCAGCTGTTTTAGATGCCAAGCCGAACCAGCAGGCCAGCCACACAGCAGTGTCCTACTGCAAGTGAGAAGCTGCAGCCGATCCTCAGCAGTCACAACCAACACCTTTAACAAGACAGTATCAAACAATTTTCCATACTTTTATTTTTCTATGTAAGCCTTCAGCTTGACCCACTAAATTCTACAATGATGTTAAACATGTGAAAACCAGCACTGTGTACATTTTTTAAAAATTCTGCTACTTAAAATGGACCTAAGTGCTCAAAACAGAAGCTTTCTATGACTTGACATGTCATGTGGTACATTCAGTTGGATCCATGTCATAATAAACATACCCAGGAGCCACCGATAGGTCATTACACCTATCCTGTATCCTTGTCACTTTTAATCACTAAAGGCAGCCTTTCCTGATGACCAGGGTCTGCATGATGCCACTGCTGGGAAGCAGACCTGGGTGGGTGTATGAAGAATGTAGCCACTGGTGGAGGGGCCATGAGACCCAAGACAGAGGCAGACAAAGCCAGGGTTTCACAGTACAACTTATTGGAGATTTACAGACAGAAGTGTGTCTTGGGCAGCAAGATAGGAAGGGCCCACACAAAAGCTGCTGGGAAAGAGCTCACACCAAGCTAGACAAAGGTGGCCCAAGGTCATCTGAAATGTACCTGCCCTTAAAAAAACTATATTAGTCCAGAATCATAAATGGTCTGTGTATCTGTGGCTAGCACAGCACACTGAGCTGGCTTAGTGACACTGTCCTGTAGGGCTCAGGAGAGTACCCGGTATGCAGTGTGGGAGTTACAACCAAGATGGTTGTCATTGGGCCAAGCCCATGCAGGGCACATGCAGCTCAGTAAATATTTTTCAAAACCATCCAGCACATTACACTCCAGAGCTGCTACCCAGTAGGACCTTCCAGGAGATCCGGGACTGACAGTCCTTCCAGCCTCCAGGGACACAGCAGCCCACAGACAGGACCTATCTCTTCATCTGGCTGGCTACATTTGGTCACTGATCCTATGAAAATCTGATTGGATCAGTCTTTTTTTTTTTTTTTTTTTTTTTTTGAAAAAGGCTTTTCTTTTGACCCCACCTTGCCTGGATCCGTTGTTGAGCACAGGTTTTTTCAAAGAGACTGTATTTGCGTGTCGTATATTTACATGTGCAACTTTTTTTTGGTCTTTTTGAGAAAGGGTCTCCCAGTAAACCCAGCTTGCCTGAACTCGCTGTGTAGACCAGGCTTCTTAACAGGTACTGACTGTGCTGTGCTCACTGGGCTTCTGAGAGGCCCCCATGAATAATATGTCAAACCTTTGGGTATAGCTATCCTCAGGATAAGGACATAGCCACTGTTTTAGTTTTCACCTCTGTGACAAAATAAAAAAAAAAAAAAAAGAAATTTGGCTCACAGTTTTAGAGGTTTTAGTCCTTGGTTAGCTGGTTACTTTGGGTTTATAGTGAGGCAGAAGCATCAAGGGAGAAGGGCGTGGCAGGGGCAAGGTGTTCCTCTCATAGCAGTCAGGAAGTAGAGAAAGACTGGAAGGGGCCAGGGAGAAGATATGCCCTTCGAGGCACACCCTCACCAGGCCCCACCTCCTCATAGCCCATTCTGCCAGAGAGCCATTGAAGTTGAGCGCCTCATGGTCTAATCACTCTTCAATCATGCCATTATCTGTGGACCAGCCTTCAACACATGAGCCCTTTGAGGAGAGACTTCATATTCACACCAGAACACACACAAAAGGCTCACAGTAAACAATGCCCCTGAGCAAATTCCTCAGAGCCTGTCAGGCAGGTTAGAGTTTATGGCCACTTTCCAGACACAGCCCTGAGAACCAAGAGGGAGGAAAATCACAGCAACATTCTTTAGTAAAATGTACTTTGTCTTAACACATTGGAAAGCTGCCAGTTTGTTTAGAAGCCAAGCATAATTCTCTCTCTCTTACACACACACACATTCACACCTGGTGGGATGTGGTAGGGAACTCATGCCTAAGTACTGACCAAAATTAAAAGAGCACTTATGTCAAGAAAGGCCTGATACAAGTGTCCATAGCAGCTGAACTTATCACAGCTACAGCTCCTGGATGGTCCTGGTGGCTGACAGGTGGAAAAGCAAACTTTGGACTTTCTAGACAGCAGAATAGCCAGTGTCAGAAGGAACCAGCCACCAACAAGTGGGAGACAGAGGGAGCAAAGTCGGCATGCAGGAAGATGATGCCAAAGGGCACATGCACAATTAGCGTGCCTGCATGAAGCTGTGGTACTATCTCAGAGGCAAGAACAGGTTCATTCTCCCTGCCAATTAAAGAATTAAAGGGCAGGAGCCGGGCATGGTGGCACACGCCTTTAATCCCAGCACTCGGGAGGCAGAGGCAGGTGGCTCTCTGGTGAGTTCAAGGTCAGCCTGGTCTACATAGCAAGTTCCAGGTCGGCTGGGGCTACAGGGAGACCCTGTCTCAAAAAGACAAAAAAAAAAATTAAAAGGCAGGAAAGAAGTGTTCATGGAAATCTTGGGAGGGCCAGCAAGCCATCATGTGATATTGGGGAAATCGGGGTCTCCTCTTGGGGGGTCTCAGTCTCATTAATTATTAATATAATTCAAGAAGGGACACAAATGGAATCTTGAGGACAAAGAACAGACTCAAAAAAGAAGCTTGAGGACACTTTATATTAGAGTTTAAGAGGAAACCCAGGGCAGGCAAAGCTCACAGTTGCCTGGAGGAGAAAGGAGGTTAAGCAGGCATGGAGGGCAGCCAGGTTGGGACTCAGCAGCTGCACAGCCGGGAGGGGTACTTTAGATTATGTGGGCTTCGGCCAGCATCTGAAAGAAAAAGAAATGGTTCCACCTTCGGATAGACGCAGACGAACCACGGTGATTCTTAAGAACTGCACTAGGGGTGGGAAGTCTGAAAAGAAAAGCAAACTATCTGAAGGTGAACCTGCCTTCCTAGGAGTGGTCGGCTAGCCAGGTCCCCATTCATCCCATTGGATTAACCCTGAAGAGAGGAGACAAGGGCATGTCTCCACCTAAAGGTAGATTATATTCTTAATTTTTGAGACAGGGTCTCCCTGTAGCCCCAGCTGGCCTGGAACTCACTATGTAGACTAGGCTGGCCTTGAACTCAAGAGATCCACCTGCCTCTGCCTTCTGAGTGCTGGGATTAAAGGCGTGCTCCACCACACCCCACTAGATTCTCTTCCTTGCAGTTCTAAGACAGAAGACGCCACCCAAAGGGACAGGAGCAGAGCAGCAGTCAATTCTGACAGGTGTACTTACCATCAGGGATCACTCTACACTTACTTGACACCTTTCTGAACTGTGCCCCCTATTCATAAAGTCCTAAGACCTCAGAATGTGACTATATCTGGATATAGTCTTAAGGCCGTGACTAAGTTAAAATGGGGTCCTTGGGGCAGACCCTAATTCGAAATACTTGGTGTTCTTATAAGAGATCAGAGGGCTGGAGAGACAGCTCAGCGGTTAAGAGCACTGACTGCTCTTGCAGAGGACCCAGGTTCGATTCCCAGCACCAAACGGTTGTTACCACGTGGTAACAACCGTTTGTAACTCCCGTTCCAGGGGAATCCAACGCCCTGTTCTGCCCTCCCCAGGCATCTCACGACACGGGTGCACGTACATACAAGCAGGCAATACACTCATACACATAAAAATAATTTAGAGAAAGAGATCAGTGTCCACACACTACCCAGTAAGGACACAGAAGCGTCCATCCACAGACCAAGGACGTCTGTGGCAGCATGCGCCCAGTCTCCTGCACTGCGAGAGGAGACAACTCCACGCACCGTCGAGAAGTTACGTTCAGACAGCGTGGAAGACAAGGGATGAGAAGGCGCTCGGCATCGCTGCTTGGCAAGTGTTCTCGGTGTCAGGCCTTGGGGTGCCCCGATGCACCATAGGGGAGCCTATACCGAGCGCTGCCATCTCTCTTCGGAAGTGTAAACCTGAAACCTCTCCAAACACAGCCGCCAGGAGACCTGACGACGTCCGGTCCGTAGCGCCCCGAGCCCCACCCCCGACTCTCCAAACGATCCGGAGGTCACAAGTCCCGCCCCCGAGTAGCCTCAGGGCTATTCCGAGTCGGGCGATTGAAGACCCCGCCTCCAGCTCCCCCGGCCTATCCCACGCCGCGTCCGCAAGAGCCCCACCCCCCCACGCTCCCTCGACCTATCCCGCGCCACGCCGCGCACAGACTCCACCCCCACCCCCGCGGCGCAGGCTCTAGCCCCGCCCCTGCCACCTCCCGGCCTATCCCGCGGCGCAGGCTCTAGCCCCTCCCCCTGCCTCCTCCCGGCCTATCCCGCGGCGCAGACTCTAGCCCCGCCCCCTGTTTCCTCCCGGCCTATCCCGCGGCGCAGGCTCTAGCCCCGCCCCTGCCACCTCCCGGCCTATCCCGCGGCGCAGGCTCTAGCCCCTCCCCCTGTTTCCTCCCGGCCTATCCCGCGGCGCAGGCTCTAGCCCCGCCCCCTGCCTCCTCTCGGCCTATCTCGCGCCGCGCCCGGCCCGTCCCGCCCTTGCTGGCGGTCTGCGCGCGCTGTGGCGGTCAGCCTTTGGGCCCCGTGGCCATGCCCAAGCGGAGCTGCCCGTTCGGCGACGCTGCCCCGCTGCAGCTCAAAGTCCGCGTGGGCCCGAGAGAGCTGGGCCGTGGCGTCTTTGCCGAGCACTACGCGCGCGAGGTGTTCGGTGAGTCCAGGCAGCTGCCGGGGATGCCCACCTGGGCTGGGGGGTGGCGGGCTACGAAGCGCGGGAACGGGAGACCCGGCGCCTGCTGCTCTCCCAGCCCGCCCGAGCACATGCCCCGGGGTGGAGGCGGCACGGGCAGGGCGCGGGCCGCCCTCGGGAAAACCGACCCTAGTGCTGCGAGCGGGAAGGCGCGCTGCCGGAGGCCGAGTTCGGAATTTCTGTGTGTGGGGGGAGTTGCAGAGCATTGCTTCAGGGTGACGACCCCACGGGCAGGTGTAGCGCGGCTTACCCAGCTTGGTGGCCGGAGGCGCTGTGGGAGAATGGCCTGGGACATGTCCGAACGGTGCTGGCTTGCCTTTGGAATGTGGGAGGCCCGCCTGAAAACTACAAAGACCCTACCCAAGGCCACCAGCCCCGCGTGGAACCCCTTCTCTTCCCGTAGGCTAGGAATCCAAACTCGAGTGTTTTCTGAGACCGAGAAGGTAGTGAGTGAGGCGTAAGGACTGAGCTGCAAGAGTGTTCTCAAAAAGTGTAAACACGGTCGGAAGATAGCGCAGCCTTAAGAGCGCTTTCTGTGGAAACCCAACAACCTGAGTTTCATCTCCACAACCCACGGTGGAAGGAGAGAACCAACTCCTGAAAGCTTTCTTCTGACCACACAGCCAGTGAACATTCACAATAAATATTCTTTTGAAATGTAAACATTATGCAGTTAAAAAGACCTAAATAGGAGGGGCTGGAGAAAAGACCTAAATAGACTCAGACCCTGACATCCTGGCTCTACCCTCTTGAGGACCTCTATCTTGGAGCACTTGGCAGGGCTTGACCCCAGCAGTGCCAGGTCAGAGAGGGGTTGCTGGGCTCTGAGGTTGTATAGGTTGCAAAGTTGGAAGGTTTGTGGACAGATTCCAAGGCCCAGCCCACACCCTGGACTCTTATGGACCAGATCTAAGAACAGAGATTACCTTCAACATGAGATTCCTCCCGTTTCCTTTTTGCTGTTTTTCAGACAGGGTTTCACATTGTATCCTAGGCTGGCATTGAACTTGACAATACTGCCTCACAGGCCTGGATGCTGGGGTGTGTCATCACGCTTAGTTTCTTTCTTAGAGATAGGAAGTGGCCCTGAGTGTAGCTGGACTGTTGACTGCTGCTTCTTTGGAGTTCTCCCATAGACAGCCCTCGGGGTCTGGAAGTCCACCCTGGCCGTGTGTTGGAGTGAGCATTCTGGGACTGACACCTAAGTGTTGATTTTGAGGCTCCCTGGGCCTGTAGTCCAATGGAAAGCCCTTTTGGATGCTGAACAGCCACTTGCCGCGGGCATGTGGGCCTGGAAGGTTCTGGGCACCTTTATCAGGAAGGAGGCTGCTGCCATGTCTCTGACCCCTATTGTGAGTGTTCACTGGCTGGGATTGTAGGCAGTGTCTTGAGCTGTGAGAATGAAGGCTCCAGGGACCAGACATTTTCTAACATGGAAAGACCAGCTTCCAGGAGGCATGCTGGGAGGATGAGAGAAAGGACACAAACCCAGGGAAGAAAGACCACCTGTGGGTATTGAAAACAGACTAAGGGAAGGAACTTCTGTGTTGAACACAGGGCCTGAGGGATCTGCAGCTTGCTGTGGAAAGTGACAATGGAGCCACAGGAGAAAGGAAAGAACATTTTTAGCCTGGTGGCTGGGAGGCCCTGGCTTAACAGAAAACGTGAGCTAGGGCGACAGGCATGAAGGGGAATTCCTTGTGCCTGCCGGGCAGGGTCACAAGATGGTTATGCATGGGCTTTGCAGTTTTGCCGGTACCCCTGAAAGGGGGAGTGAGGATTGAAAGAAAAAAGAAGAGACAGAAAAGATGCTTGGGAGGGCTGACAGTGGTGACTGCAGCCCAGGTTTATCTCAGCTCCGCCTTTTTATACAGAAGAACTCAATTAGTTTCCACAGCTGTTTCCCCACCTGTATCTGAGGGTCAAGGAGGTCAGATACTTCAAAGGCTTCTTTGATCTTTTTGTTTACCACTATTGCCTCAAGGTCAGGTGTTGTGAGGCTCTCCATGTAATCCTCCTGATTAGGCAGATTAGATACTGGTGTGCATAACACAAACTCAGTAAACAAGGCTGCCACAGCTCAATGCACATAATAGATTAGCAGCTCCCAACACAGTTGACAGTGTAAACTTGAGGAATGATCTTCTTCCCTAGAAAGGACCAAGCAGCTCCTTTTCCAGGGGGCCCAGGCCTGCAGCGATCACATGTGGGGCGAAGGCTGTGCCATGGTCCACCTGCCAGAGTCCCCGAGGCCTGGGCCTACAGGGACCCCTGGAGCTACAAGGGGACAGATGTTGATTGGACCTGATGGGCGACTGATGAGGAGCCAAGCCCAGGTCTCAGAAGCTGGTGAGTGATTTGCCAGTGGCACTTCTTGGCTGTGGTACTGAGGGAAGACTAGGGCAAATGTTCTGCTCAGGGGCTTTGCCTACCTAGGCAAGCAAGAGCCACCCAGTGCCTGATAAGTTGGGCAAAATGGCGAAAGGTTTGGAAGCCTCCTGTTAGGAGGTCTGCCCCCTCGACACATAGCTTCCAACTTGTGTCAGAAGAGGAGCAGGCGCTCCCTGGTATCCCACCAGCAGTAGGAGCATGCTGATTCATTGCCTGAACAGTCCAGTCTTGCATCTGGGCGGTTTCAGGGAACCTCCTGGCTAACCAGTGAAGCAGTGGGCCACATCTTGAGACCTAGACAAAGACAGAGTTGTGATAGAGCAGTCAGAGGAGCTAATCCTTCCATAGTGGGTATGGGCAGTTGGTCAGCCTGGAACCCTGTGACCACTCCTGGGCTCTCTAGTGTAGTGGTCCAGGTACTATAGGTAGCTGGTAGGTTGTGGAGAGGACTCTGTTGTAAATAGGGGTGGGTGGGGTCAGGGCCCCATGTTCTAAGTTATAGGGGAGTATAGGTGACCTCACTGCCCTTTACTCTTCCAGTTGCCAATAGAGCCATGTTTCTTTCTCACAGACCTGCCCAGGGCACCCATTGCCTGCTCCTCATGTGTGCGATCTGTGGATGGGAAGGCAGTTTGCAGCCAGTGTGAACGGGCCCTTTGTGGACAGTGCATATACACCTGTTGGGGCTGCGGTGCTGTGGCCTGCATGCTGTGTGGCCTTGCTGAGTGAGTAGTTTGATCTGTGGGGCTATTGAAAATAATCATCTCATGCCAGGTGTGGTGGTACACGCCTTTAATCCTAGCACTTGGGAGGCAGAGGAAGGTGGATCTGAGTTCCAGGCCAGCTGGGGCTACAGGGAGACCCTGTCTCAAAAGGACCCCACAAAAAAATAAAATAATGGTCTCTTGGGGCTGGAGAGATGGCTCAGCGGTTAAGAGCACTGGCTGTTCTTACAGAGGACCCGGGTTCAGTTCCCAGCACCTACATGGCGGCTAACCTCCAGTTTCAGGGGATCTGACACCCTCTTCCAACCCCGTGGGCATTGCACAACATGGGTGCACTTACACATATGCAGGTAATACACACATAAAAATTATAAATTTAGGAAAAAAAGAAAGTAATGGTCTCTCTCACTGCAAGAGTGTAGGGTGCTGGGCGGGCACTCTGTGGGGACGGCCTGCCATTACTTAACAGGACAGGACTTGGTGGTGATAAATGCTTTCCCAACTCTTCTCAAGACTGATCTTTTTGAAAGAAACCCCCATTTCCCAAATGATCAGCCAGTGTCTGTGGCCTCCTTAAAGCAGCTGCCTAGCTGAAACAGCTTTGTGCCTGGTTTTCTGAGCCCTTGTTTGGGCTCCAGTAGTCAGCACTGTCTGAGTACTGACCTAGTTTCCTTTTCTATCAGATGTGCTTGTCATTAGAGTGCCTCACATGACAGCAGGTGCACACTGCGGTCCACGTCTGTCCCCATGTGCTTCCTGGTTATCAGTGGTCTGGCCAGAGTGGAGTGGTGCGGAAGGGATGTTACCCATTCCTGGCAGCCAGCGGGGTCTGGATGTACAAGGGGTCAGGACAGTCCCACAACAGCTGGTGGGATGGATGGATAGTGCAGAGCACCCCTTGCTCTGTTCTGTTTTCTATCAGATGTGCTTGTCATTAGAGTGCCTCACATATGACAGCAGGTGCACACTGCGGTCCACGTCTGTCCCCATGTGCTTCCTGGTTATCAGTGGTCTGGCCAGAGTGGAGTGGTGCGGAAGGGATGTTACCCATTCCTGGCAGCCAGCGGGGTCTGGATGTACAAGGGGTCAGGACAGTCCCACAACAGCTGGTGGGATGGATGGATAGTGCAGAGCACCCCTTGCTCTGTTCTGTAAGGACACGATCCCCCAGTTATGTATAGAACCAACACTGTCGATCCAGATGAGCTCAGACCAGCATTTTCTAAAAGTTAGGTCAGATGGAAAAGCTTGTATCACAAGGGAAGTCCCGTCTACCAGACACTCTTCAGTAGGTGGGGTAGCCTGAGGGGTGCTCTAGGGAGAAGTCTGGGCTCTGCAGGGCTAGCTGAAACTGAGGTTGGGGGAGGAGGGTCTGCCAGGCCCTGCTCCCAGCTTCTGATAACTGCTTGCTGCCGATCCATGGTGTTCCTGTCACTGGCCATCTTCTCCCTGTCTTCATGTCACTTCTGTGTCTCTCTGTGACATCCACTCACCCGTCTAGAGCATGGGAAAGGGCTGGAGCCCAGATGTAGGTCTGCTGGGTGTCAGCATGCCGTGCTCCCAGACTCCCTCAAATGCCACTGTCACATGAATCGTCTCCAAACAAGGTCACATTCTCAGTCTTGGGATAAGGGTTTCATTGGGTTGGGAGGCGCCATCCGTCCCTAACACAGCTTTCTCTCTCCTCCCTGTCGGTGGTACAGCTACACGGATGTTTGTGAGAAGACTCTGTGCAACAGCTGCGCTATATTTGAAGCCTGAGTGGTCGTGGATGGCAGTGGCCCCTGGATGGCACAATATGTTCACACTGCAGAGGGAGGGAGTGGCTTTTATACATTGTTTTGTACCCCAGCAACTGAAGCGAATAAATCCCTTTATATTTGCACAAGGACTCCTGTTGATTAGCTGTGCTGACAGTGACAGCTGCAGGGGCAACCATTCCCAGCAGCAGTATGCCACCCCTGCTAAACAGCGAGGTGAGGCCCCAGCTCATCACCTGAGAGGCAAACCAGGCCTAGAGAGTTCCTTCTGGCTTCACCCGGCTGAGGAGGACAGGGAAAGCTGGAACCCAGGAGTCTTTACTAGAGAGATCACCTGTGTGTTAGGCCACCCTCGCTGAATTGTCAGTCACCTAGCAGGCCTTTTTCAGTACTTGTGTAGCTGGGGCCCCAGGTGGTTATACAGACCCCTGCCCTCCAGGCTTGGCCTAGCAGAGTACATTGGGAGGATGACATTCCTCACCCCATCCTCAGGGATGTGGTTTATGCAGGGCTTCAGGAGCTGTTCACAGGAGGTGGGTCAGTCACCTAGGCGGGCTGTGGTTGCTGATTTCCATATGCCTCCCTGAAGTGCTACCCCGGACAAAGGCAGTCCCGGTTTCTTGGTGCGACACTGGGCAGTCAGTCCACAACCCCTCTGTGAAGCCTGGAGCAGCAGGGTGTGGAAGCCACAGGCAAGGCCCCACTGAGGAGAGCCCTCATTACTGCAGGTAATGGGACAAGTGGTACTGAAAGCTGGTGGTCAGGACAGCAGCCCAAGGCTGGGCCCAATGTGGGCCTGCCAGGGGTAGCAGATGGGCTACTGAACCTCCGCAGACTGAAAAAGATCCTGGCCCCATACCCCTACCTGTGTGGCTTCTGCTGCTGCTTCACACTGGTCCAGCGCTCTCAGGTCCTGTGGGCTCTCTCTTCTGTCCCCAGCCTACTTAGCTATACCTAACGGGACTTCATCACCAGGAGTCACTGCACACTGCCTGCAGGCTGTCCTCATAAGCAGCTGGCACTGCCTCTCCACCCAGCCTTCCAGTAACTAGCCATGGCCCTACAAGTAAAAAGCAGGGGTCGCTCCTATGCTGCACCCCTCTGAGGTTTGCTCAACCTCCACATGCTTCTACTCAGCACTCCTTGCTTCCTTGCCTGGGGGCTCTCTGGATGTCTATAGTTCATCGCTGTCTTTCTGGGTTGGGCGTCCCAGTGCCCTAATGAATAGCCCTGTTAGCCTTCTTACCTCCACTGACAGAACTCTGTTCCAACTGTCTCCAAGTTCTAAAACTGTCTCACAGATCTGTAATTGGCATAGCATCCTGCCACAAGAGAGCAGCAGGGACTGGTCTTTAAACAATTTTGTGTTTAGGAGGTATGGAGGGTGCGTGTTAATGCGGGCATGTGTATGTGTTTGCATGTGTGGAGGTTAAAGGGCCATCCGCCTTGTGTTGTGTTTTGAAACGTCTCACTGGCCTGGAGCTCACTGAACAGGCTAGGCTGGCTGCCAGCAAACCTAAGGGACCCGCGTGCCACCTCCCCAGCATCAGGATTCCACGTGCATGCTACCACTGTGTCTGGCTTGCCACCCATTTTCTGGGAACCAAATTCAGGTCTTCATGCTTGCATGACAAGCACTGTACCAGTGAACTGTCTCTTCAATCTCTAAACTTTTTTTTTGGTCTTTTTGAGGCAGGGTCTCCCTGTAGCCCTAGCTGGCCTGGATTCGCTATGGAGACCAGGCTGGCCCCAAACTCAGAGACTTGCCTGCCTTCCAGTGCTGGGATTAAAGGCATACGCCACCACCTGGCTCAACTTTTTTTTTTTTTTGGTGGGTCTCCCTAGTTACAGACTGCAGTCACCATGTGAATCAGGGTAGCCTTGATCTCTCAGACCCCTGCCTCTGCCTCCTCAGAGCTGGGATTAAAGGCACACACCACCACTCCCAGCGTCCCAATCCCTAAATTTAATTAAAAAACAAAATATCGTGACATCGGACCGCACTGAGTGTGAGACAATAATCCATGCGAGAAGGAACAAATGAAGTGAACCCGGAGTGCTGGCTGGGTGTCTGGAGAGGGCCCAGCTGTGGCACAGGAGAGCCTAAGACCTTGTGTTCTGGATTAAGGAGACATTAAGGATTAGTCAGTGACACACCAGATCACCCACTACCCATGGGTCACTGCACCCTTAAAGGTACTGCTCACCAGTGTGAGGGGAGCCAGGGAGAGCAAGAAGAGGGCCATATTCTCAACAGGAAGGGGAATGTGGCCGGACCTTCAACAGGGCCCTCAGATTCCCCTCCCCACCCTAGAGAGCAGACTGTCCAGCCTCTTCCTGAGTGGAAGGTGTGCCTGACAAAAGTCACTGTTGCCAGTACTTAACAGTACCCAGAACACAACTGAAAAGTAAAAGGTTTTTAACTCCGTCCCCATCAGGTAAGAGTGCTGTGTTGTCTGTCACCTTAAACTGAACAGAACCGCCACCACAGGAGAGTTGATCCTAGAAACAGCCCCAGAAGTAATTCAGGTGGTGGAATCATTCTGCCCAGTGAGCAGACAAGACATCACAGTGCTTATCATGAGCCCATATCGAGAAGAGTCAGGCGTGCTGCAAAAATGTCTGCAATGGGAAATGCCATAGATGAGATTAAAAGCAAGACAGCCAGGTGTGGTGGCACCTGTCTAATCCCAGCACTTGGGAAGTGGAGGCCAGAGCAGCAGGAGTTCAAGGTCATCCTCAGCAACACATCTAATTCATGGCCTGCCTGGACTGACTACTTAGAGAACTTATCCCAGAGGAGAGAGAAAAAAGAGTGAACTTGGAGATAGAGCAGTGCAACTATCCGGAAGAAAACGGAGAGAAGCAAACAGCTCTCAGGCAGTGTCAGGCCGTGTGAGGAGACTCATCGTGGCAGGGCACGCAGAAAAATGAAATAATGGTTAGAATATGACCAAATTTGGCTGGGTGTGGTGGTGCACACCTTTAGTCCCAGCACTCAGGCAGACCTCTGAGTTCAAGGCCAGCCTGGTCTACATAGTAAGTTCCAGGCCAGCTGGGGCTACAGGGAAATCCTGTCTCAAAAAACAAAAAAATCCAAAATGCCCAAATTCAGTGGAATCAAACCCTCTGACCCAAGCTCAACAAACCCAAGAGATACATCATAACAAATTCCTCAAAACCAGTTTAAAAAAGATTAAAAGGGGCCGGGCGCACACCTTTAATCCCAGCACTGGCAGAGGCAGGCGGATCTTTGTGAGTTTGAGGCCATCCTGGTTTACATAGCGAGTTCCAGGACAGCTGGGGCTACAGGGAGACCCTGTCTCAAAAAAGACAAAAAAAAAAAAAAAGATTAAAAGCAAAGGCTGAAACAGCAGACCAATCGTTAGAAAGCAGAGCTGCAGATGGAGCGGTTGCTAGAGTGCCTGTCTAATACGTACGTACACAGCTGCAGAGTCCATCCCCAGCACCATGTAAGAAAGAAGGTGCAGTCCCAACACTTGGGAGGTGGAGGCAGAAGAGTCGGGAGTTCAAGGTCATTCTTGACTCCAAAATGAGTTCCAGGCTAGCCTGAAATATGTGAGACCCTGTCTCAAAAAGTAGGTGTAGACAGTGACTACCACTTGGGAAAATTAGTTTTGAGTGACATACTGAAATAGCCAGGAATGGGGGTGTACCTGGCATCGTAGTATTTGTACTTGGGAGGCTGAGGCAGGAGGATCCTGAGTTTGAGAACCGAGCCAGACCCTATCTCAAAAGAGGGGGCTGGACAGAGGGCTCAGTGGTTAAGAGCACTGAGTGCTCTTGCAGAGGGCCCAGGTTCGAGTCCCAGCACCCACATGGTGGCTACGAACGGTCCTTAACTCCAGGTCCAGGGAATCCGAAGCCCTCTTCTGACCTCCGCGGCATTGCACAACACGGTACTCTCACACACATGCAGGCAGTACGCTCACATACACATTAAAAATAATAAAAATAACAAAAGAAAAAGACGTGTGTATTCCCTCAGAGACTCAAAACTTAACCCCCACTGTGACAAATTGAGAGGCCTGTAGGAGGTGGTAGGGTCAGTCCTCTCCTGGGTCAGTGGAGTCTGGCAAGCAGGTCAGCTCTCAGGGCTGTTGGAACACCTCTCTGGCTCCATCTCGGCACCACACTGTGCACTCGGCAGTTCAGATCATACCAGCAAGGCCATCTCCAGACACCACTCCTAAGCTGGGTCAGATTCCTGAGCCAAAATAAACTCTTACACCTGGCCCAGACTGGGATTTCAGCATTACCCACAGCAAAAGGACCAAGACACTGACAGGTGCCGTGTGGAAGTTGAGAGAGCTACAAAGAATGTTGAGCTTTGCAGGCAAAAAGAGAATGTCGGCAGGGGACGTGAGCTGCAGGTTTGACCAGTCCGCAGAAGGGATCTTGGGCATACCCATTAGGGCCGCCCCAACAAGGCCAGAAAACATGCAGAGAAACCAGAACCTTTCAGATACATTGCTAGTGGGAATTTAAAATGGCGCAGCCACCGTGGAACGTAAGAGGTGGGTCCCCAAATGGACAGAATTGTTATTACCAACATTTCTTCCGAGCACATAGACATAGGGTATAATTAGATTTTTTGGGGGGTGGGGGTGGAGTTTGTGCTTTTTTTTTTTTTTTTTTTTTTTTTTTTTTTTTTGGGGGTGGGGGGGGGGGTTTTGTTTTTTTTTTTTTTTTTTTTTTTTTTTTTTTGAGCCAGGGTCTCCCTGTAGCCCCAGCTGTCCTGGAACTCAGTATGTAGACCAGGCTGGCCTCAAACTCACAAAGATCTGCCTGCCTCTGCCTCTGCCTCTGCCTCCCAAGTTCTGGGATTAAAGGTGTGCGCCACCATGCCCAGTTGTTTGCTTTTTTAAAGCAAGGTCTCATGTAGCCCAGGCTGGCCTTGAACTCCTGATTCTCCTGCCTCCACCTCACAAATGCTAGAATTACAACCATGTGCCAACATGCCTAGCATTATTTTTTGTGTGTGCTTGTGTGTACATGCATACAGAGGCTAAAGGACAACCTTCACTATTATCCCTCGGATGCAGTTTACCTTTTATTATTATTACTAGTATTAAAGATAGGGTCTGCCATTGGCCTGGTACTCGCCAAGTAGGCTAGCACACTCAATGAATTCTCCTCGTCTCTGCCTCCCTGGTGCTGGAGTTACAAGTGCACACCTCTACACCTGGTCTTTTTACATGGATTCCAGGGTCAAACGGGTCATTGCTTGCTTGCAAGGAAAGTATTTCCTGAGTGAGCCATCTCCTTGACCCTTGTTATTTTGTTTGATCTAACAATCTCTGCCTATGAATTGTGTTCATAGCAGCTTAATTTCCAGTAGACATGCAATACTGTTAATCAGCCTCAGAAAGGAGTCTGACCTATGCTGCAACATAGATGAGGCTTCGTGACACGGTTAAATCAAGCCAGACACCAAGACTGATATATTGGGGTCTGGGGATGCAGCCCAGTGGGAGAGTGCTCCCATGTGAGGCCATGTTCAATCCCTAGTATTACAAAAACAAACAAAGTACAGCATCATTGTGTTTAAATGTGGCATCTGAAAGTGGTCAAATTCCCAGGGGCAGGAAGTGGAGTGCTGTTGGCCAAGTTGGGACCAGGGGAATGAGCAATTTTCAACAGTCCTTTCAGTTTCCATTTGCGGAAATGACATACCGAGACCAAGAAAGGAGCAAGGGGCCTGCTGTGAAGAGCATGTATGGTGTGAGGTAGACGGTAAGTGTGAGGTAGACGGTAAGTGTGAGGTAGACGGTAAGTGTGATGCAGACTGTAAGTGTGAGGTAGACAGTAAGTGTGAGGTAGACGGTATGAGGTAGACGGTGTGAGGTAGATGGTAAGTGTGAGGTAGACGGTAAGTGTGAGGCAGACGGTGTGAGGTAGATGGTGTGAGGTAGACGGTAAGCGTGAGGCAGACGGTGTGAGGTAGATGGTTAAGTGTGAGGTAGACGGTGGAGACGTGCACCACAAGTCCTAGAGCAGCAGGACGCAGGGACTGCACTCATTCATGATGACATACATATTCTAAGTGCAGTGTGCTATCCTGAAAGACGGTGTCTGGGGAAAATTGGTGAGACTCAGAAAGTCAGTGAAGGGAAGTGATAGGACACCTAAGGCCAAGAAGATGGCTGTGAGGTAAAACTGTTTGCCTCACAGAGCTGACGAGTCCCCAGACCCAACCTAAAACTAGATGAGATGGTGCACATCCGCAATCCCAGCACTCCTCCAGCTTGACAGGGGTGGAGACAGGAGAACCTGCCAGAAGTTTGCAGCCACTGTGGAGCCTGCCTGCTGCGGGGTTAACTAAGGAGTAGTTGTTTAATCTGAAAGACTCAACCACACCAACATAGCACTGCTTTTATTTTTTTTTATAAATAAAAATAAGTTATTAAACAATTGGTGTGTGCGCACGTGTGCGTGTGCATGCGCACCACAGCATGCATGTGAAGTCAGAGACAACCTCAGGTGTCAATCCTTGCCTTCTACCTTGTTTGAGGCAGGTCTCTGTTGTCTGCTGCTGCCGCCCTGCATACTCCAGGCCAGCAGGCCTGCTAGCCTCCAAAGCAGCTCCTGTGTCTGCCTCCCACCTTGCCGTAGGAACTCTGGGATTACAGACACACACATTACCACACCCAGCTTCACGTGGGTTCTGGGGATCTGAACTCAGGTCTTCATACTTGCACAGCAAACAGTTTACCTGAGCTATCTCCTCAGCCCAGTTAGATAATTTTTAACAAAAAAGCAAGACTCAACTATGTATCAACTATAAGAAATCAACTTTAAGTGTAAAGTAGAAGTGTAGGATAAAAATGTACTATTTTGGGGCTGGAGAGATGGCTCAGCAGTAAAGAACATTGGCTGCCTTTGCAGAAGATTCAGGTTCAAATCCCAGCACCCATATGGCAGCTAACAACCATCCATAACTCCAGTTCCAGGGGATCTGACGCCCTCTTCTGTCCTCTGCAGGCACTGCACAACACGGGTGCTCTTACATGCAGGCATAACACTCATACACATAAAATTTTTAAAAATGTACAGAATAGCTGGGCATGGCAGCATTCATCTTTAATCCCAAAACTTGGGAGGCAGAGGCAGGCAGATCTCTGGGAATTCAAGGCCAGCCTGGTCTACAAAGCAAATTCCAGGCCAGATGGTGCTACAGGGAGACCCTGTCTCAAAAAGACCAAAAAAAAAAAAAAAGTACAGAGTGATACGATAAATTCAGCCTTTGAACAGCCATTCCCAGGCAGAGGCATGTTCTGGGAGGGCAGGCCCAGGCCTCAACCCCGACACCTGGAGTCCACGAGACACCTACAGAACCTTCCACTGCTCATACCTGTTGAGCCTAGGGAAGTTGAATGTGGGAAGTCCAAATGCAAAAGCCACTTCTGTTTCTGTCTTTCTGTCTCATACTGATCGGAGCAAGGCACTGGGTACCTCAGACACAGGAAGAGCGCTTCCTCCTCACTTTGGCAGTGCACTGTGACCCCCAGCTCGGCCCTCACCGCTCACCAACTCTTCTCCACCTGCTCTGGCTGCAGGCTGGGCCAGGTCTGCCTTGGCAGAGGGTCCTGAGAGTGTCCCATCTCTCAGATGCCCGGCTCCTGACATACTCCTCCCACTTCTTTCCCCCGGGGAGTCTCCAGCCTCAGATGGTTCTGCCTAGACAGCTGACTGTAAGAGGAGACTCAGAAGGCAATCACTGCTTCGTTCATTCCCATAAGGGCTTTGCCATCTCTGTGATGGGGACATACAAGGCTGTTACTGCCCATGACCTTAAGGCCTCTCCCTCTGTACTACAGGGACATCCCTGAAGTCTTATGAAAGGAACAGCCTGTACCACTCCATCTGGCCCAGCCTGGCCTCTGCTGTGTCCCTGTTTCCACACATCTGCCACTTTAGGTACTGTTTTGCTCCAAGTCTGAGGATCCCAGAAGGCCATGCTGTGCTCTACTGCTGCTTCTCTATAGATCCTTACCTCAGTACAGTACACAGCACTATGTGCTTTCAAAAAAGGCTCTGAAGGTCACCGTTGTGTGGCTTCTAACAGCCTGCTAGAACCAAAGACAAGGGGTCACCCAGAGACGCACCTTATCTTTGTGATAGCCACACACTATCCCAGCAAGGTCACTGGGCTCTGCACATGCCCACACCTTCAGGGTAGTTACTCTCCACCTCTTGCTGCAGGAGTTCCACCAGTCACCACCAGGTGGCACCAGCAGCACATCATGGAGACAGCTTGGACACAGCTGATTCCTGGCATTCTGGGAGTGACTGGCCTACACCTGTCACCTCCACCCCCACCCAGAACGGCCTCTAGTTCAGTCCCAGATGTGTTGCATGACACAGAGCAGAGCACTCTATAGGTCTCCTGGACCCCAGCATGTGGCCACCCTTCCCAGGTCTTGCTTACTGCTCTGTCCCCACACACAGCAGCTGGGGCTGGTGGGTGGCTTGGATAGCCTCCTTGGGAGGGTCACAGGATACAGCCAGGATACCCCACTTTTCTCCCTCAGGAATATCTTGCTAGAAGTATATCTTTTCCTCAAAGGCCATCCCTGGACCCTCAGGACAGAGGACCCTGGGCACAGGTCTGCCAGGCTTCAAAGTAACCCTGACAAAACCCCATCACCCTCAAACCCACTACAGTGGTGGGGCTGAAGGAGGCCCAGGTACTCAAGGGACAGTGCTCCCATGCTCCACCCTCTCTACCCAGCAAAGCAAGCCACAAACTTGAAAAGCAGTTTTTATTGAAGAATTTGGAGGGGCAGTTTCTTATAACAGTAAAAATGCTGACGTTGAATGTTGTAAAAAACGGCATGGTGCAGCAATGGCCAATGTCTGGCCAGGAGAGGGACAGGCCAGCGCAACAGCCAGAGAAGTAAAGCATCTGAAAGGACAAGTGCTAAGAGGGAAGTCTGAGGTGGACACCCTTGATGCATACCACCAAGAGCCAACACAGAGGGGAAGGGCAGGGGCTCTCCTGTCACTAAGATGAACATCCCCCAAAATGCCTCTGAACAGCACAATACATAGCAACAAATCTAACTCTTGTTCCTCTGTCAACCTGGGTGAGCCCTGGCCCACCCACCTCAGGTCCCGTCTTTGGGGACTGACTCCAAGAACACCCTCAGAGGCACAGCCCTAGCACTGCGGCTGCTGTGTGCCCCTGCAGGGGATGGCCAGCCAGCATACCAGTGCAGGTGCTTCTGGTGCGTTCGGGCTGGACTTTGGCCCTGGACCCTAAGGACAAGAGTGGATGGGCTGACGGAGGCAGTGACAGGACCCACCCAGACCCGTGAGCCCACATTGCACGTGGTCGCAGAGTCCTTAATGTTTTCCTACATGAATCTAATTGTCCTGGGCACCAAGGCCACGTCTGGAGAACAAACTGGATGAAATAAATTAAGAAAAACCGCAGGATAATTTTCCCTGACCTGGCTGGGAGCAAGGCTGCTGCCCCACAGTAGGACATCCTCCCCTGGTCCTGGAGGCTGGCAAGGTTCCTCCCCAATGCATCCAAGAAATAAACCGTCAGATACAGATGATCCGTGCGGGGCGTCGGGACTCGGCAATGCAGAGGAGTACACAGCTGCCAGCTGCTGCCCCAGCCTCAGGCTGTGCCACTGGCCGAGTAGGAAAACTGAGGGAAGTGCGGCCTCCGCTCACTATCCACACACTCCATGTTGTCATCTGGGGACAAGAGACAGCTCAGTTACAGACTCTAAGAACTGCCAGTCCATCTGCCACATAGCAGGGGAAACGGAGGAGGCCTTGCACATGGGCACAGTCAGGTCAGCCCTCAGAATGCTGCCCTCCATCTTGGTTGCTACCCCCTCCAAAAAGGGCTCTTTATTTTTTTATTTTATTTATTATTTTTATTCACTATGACTGACACCTTGGGCAGGGTGGCCCTTACCTTGGTCAGGCGGTGTGATAGTGATCATCTGGGCTGTGAACTCTTCGTCAAAATACCTGGTGTCAGTCTCAGAGGTGACCTGGGGCTTGAAGGGTGGGCTCAGCTGTTGGCAGCAGGAAGATGATCAGTTACAACCCTGTTCAGGATGCCAACTCAGGTTGGCCAGATCCCCTCAAGGCCCTCACCAAACAACACTGACTTGGGGCAAGACACCAGCACAAGGGCACAGCTCTAGATTATGCTGGGCAGGGAGCAGTGGAGGGAATGTCTAGGGCAGCCTCAGGGGCAGGAAGTAGCAGGTACAGCCAGTTCTGTAGCCCCTGCCCATCCGCAGCAGTGGGGCAAGTCCTCTCCCTGGTCATCACTTTTTGTACAGGTTCTTTGTGAATGGGCAAGTAGACAAAGGAAACCAGACTGCATCTGGGGTGAGCCTCTGCCTCACCGACACTCCAAAGCAGAGTGGTGCAGGCAGGCAGAGCAGGCTGGGCAAGGGTTCTACCCTCAGCCCAGACATGAGGCCAACTGTAAAGTGATGTGCACACTGGGGGCTGCTGGACAGCCTCTCAGGTCCCTCAGTTAAGGACCCTCAAAAACAATTTGCCCAAGTCTGATCTGGGGCTACTGCTACAATGTGTGAACTTATAGGATCTCTGGCTGGGCACTGGCAGGAGAGAAGTGTCATCTATACCCCAACAATGGTAAGAGGGCAGGCCATGGCTGCCCAACCCAGCTGGCCTCATGTGGCCTAGAAGAACAAGGTAGGGGCAGGCTGGATACACTGGAGGCAGGCTTGATGACTAGGCACCCAACACATCCAGGTACAGGGCTGAGTGTGCCAGCATACACCATCATTCTGGGTCAGGGTTCGGTTTCTGGAGTCCTTCTGAAGTCAAGCACCCCACCACAGGGGTGAGTACGAGGGGACACCTCTTCCTCCCAGTGGCCTCACGATACCAGAAAGGTAGCTGCTGTCCCAGAGTAGGTCAGGGTTCTCCTTGGAGCTGCAGAGACCTAGGCAGTACCCTAACCCTGACCAGGTTTCAATATGTAATGCTGGGGAAGTGGCCTTGCTCGGGCACCTGGTGGAGAACACTACAGGGAGTGCCTAGAGCAGCCTAAAGGGGCGGGCGCGGAGGTGCAGGAGCTGAGGTGCGGGAGTGTGGAAGCCTGCAAGTGCGGCCTCCAGGCAAGAGCTGAGTGCCCAGGCATGGGTGCAGGCAACAGAGAGGAGAAGCAAGGGCTCCCAGGCCAACAGGCTGAGTGGGGTGCACAAGCAGTGCACATGGTGTGCGTGAAGGAGAGCATGTGTGGCCCTGTGGCGTGTGAGGGCATGCAGGTTACCACAGTGCCGTGAGCCTGTCATGATCGCTTGAGCCAGTGACCCCCCCCACGTGCACACTGCACAGAGGTGGGCATAGTGGTGCTTACCTTCTTCTCATACACATCTTGCCACACGATACTGGCAAAGAAGCGATGCTGCATGATCTCCTTGGCATCCTCAGAGCCCCCGCCAAGCCTGTGGGTGGGAGACAGATCCAGGGTTCAGAGGCTGTGTGAGGGGTGACAGGCCCATGGGGATACTCACAGGATTGGACTTCCTGAGCAGGTGTGGGTGCTCCCAGCTGCCCAGCCACTGCTGGGGCCTGCCTTGACCAACCACGTGTGACTGAGAGGCTGTGCAGGAGTAGTGGGGTGGGTGTGGTGGGCAGGAGCAGGGTCCTAAAGCCCCAGTGGCCCTCACCTCTGTGTGGGGTCCTTCTTAAGCAGCCCCGAAAGCAGGGACTTGGCCTCGGGGCCGAGTGTGCGTGGGAAGCGGATCTCCTCCATGAGGATGAGCTCAAACAGCTTCTCGTGGTCCTGGTTGTAGAAGGGGAGGCGGCCACACATCATCTCGTACATGACCACGCCCAGCCCCCACCAGTCCACTGCTCGGCCGTAGTCATTGTCCTCCAGCACCTGGATGGGGAACTCTGTCACCACATGTCCGGGGCATAAGGGGTAGGGGACACACAGGCAGTGACAGAGCACCTCAGGGGCCAGGTACTCAGGCGTCCCACAGAAGGTCTTCATGGTGGCGCCATCCTTGATACCCTCCTTGCACAGCCCGAAGTCTGTGATCTTGATGTGTCCGTCCTTGTCCAGCATGAGGTTCTCCAGCTGCGCGGGAAGCCTCAGTTAGCGTGGCCGGGCCCCCGGTCCCCACCTCCCCTGGTCTGTGGGCACACCTTGAGGTCGCGGTACACCACATTCTTCTCCGCGTGCAAGTAGTGCAGGGCCGACACAATCTCCGCACCGTAGAAGCGGGCCCGGTCCTCAGAAAACACGCGCTCACGGGACAGATGGAAGAAAAGCTGTGGGGGTGCGAAGTGCTGAGGAGGTACTTTGGGAAGGCCCCCCACCCGTGACCCAAAGCAGAGGGCAGGTTAAGGATGCGTCCCCAGGAAAGCCTAGAGACTCCAACTCAGTGGGGATGGGTCATCCTAGAGCAGTTGCAGACACCACGCCGCCAGCACCCTCTTGTACTGCAGAGGATGCCCAAGGCTCTCAGAAGGACAAGTCCACCGTGACACGGAAGCTGCCCATGGCCCTACCTCACCCCCGTTGGCATATTCCATGACAAAGCAGAGGCGGTCGTGGGTCTGGAATGAGTACTTCAGGGCCTGAAATAGAAGCAGCTGCCTCAGCACTGGTGTGGCAGGAATGTGCTGGCACCACAGCGACACCCAGCCAGCCCCAGGCATCCCACGAGGCATTAGGGCACATTTAATGTTTGGACAAAGTCTCACTATAGCCCAAGCTGGCCTGGAACTCAATGCAATCCCTCCACCTCGGTTTCCCCAAGTGCTAGGATTATGGGTGTGCACCACCATGCCACAGAGCATATTTTAAGATGAGCAACATGGGGTCTCAGTTCAAGTGCAGAGGAAGGTGGATCTCAGAAGTTGGCTGTCCAAGCTTGGGGACCACCAAGAGCCACCTTGGTAAGGAATTTCACAACAGCTTAGGCGTTTCTAGCCCTGGTGCACTGAGCTACTCCAGCTGCCTTTCATCCTGGACTATAGGCCCTGCTTATAGGCAATGAGCCCAAAATGCTTACCCTGGAGCTAATCAAGCACCTCATTCAACTTCACTCATGGTAAACCTCTCCTGGGCTGTGTGACACCCACCCCCCAAGAAACCTGGCCTTAGCAGGGGTAAGCCCAGAAGAGGGGTCTGAGAGGAATAGGGTGTGGTGAGCTTGAGGCAGTCCAGGGTCTCAGCAGAGTGTGAGACCAGTCACCTGTCTCCTCCCTGCATCCCGCAGCCTGCCAGCCTATACCAACACCCCATACCCACTCCTCCATCAGTCCACCTGAAGCCCTCACGTGTCTATCTGGGAAAACAGGGCACCACCCTTCAGAGTCACCCCATGAGTGACCACCTGACCCTGCCCATTTACACCTCAGAGGGGCCCAGGCTGATGGCCCCACTCACCGTGAGGAAGGGATGCCTAGAGTTTTGCAGGACACGGTTCTCGGTGAGTGTGTGGGCCACCTCATCCTGGAAAGCAGAGCCAAGTGAGCACCCACTTGCCCTACACTCTTCCCTCGACCCACCCTCTAGCCCTTCCCTCCCCACACCTTGGCAACGATGACCTCCTTCTTGAGGATCTTCATGGCATAGTAACGGCCTGTGGCCTTCTCCTTCACCAGGATCACCTTCCCAAAGGTGCCCTTGCCCAGCAGCTTCAGGTACTCAAACTCATTCATGGTCTGTGGGAAACAAGGAAGAGCCAGTTAGTGCCCTTGCTCACCATGGACAGCCCACAGGGATAAACATCTATGCCACAGCCTCCAGCTGGACAGTGTGTGAGGGTGGTGAGCAAGGCCCCATGGGCTGGAGAGAAGACATGCCCATTCTCAAATTCACCTGCCTGTGGGGTCACTGGGGGTCCTGCACAACCCAGCCCAGAGCACTGGGACTTGGGGGATGATATAATAATGTCCTGGGTGAGCCAGGTCCCAACATCCCCATGTTACTTCTTCTGTTTCACTCGTTTTTTAGTGCTGAGGACTGAATGCAGTGGCTCATGCATGTGAGGCAAGCATCACTGCAACAGAGCCACATCCTCAGTAGAGTGGCTCCCTGGCACCAGGGAGGGAGCCAGGCCCATGCAGCAGCCAGGTGGGAGCCCCAGGACCGGCTAGGCTCCTCCACAATCCCTGATGGCCCCAGGAGAGGCTGGGCCCGCACTCACCACACGGTGCTTGGGCTTAGCCAGAGACACCTCCATCTCTTCAGCCCCCGAATTGTCACTGGGGGAACCTGATCGGAAGTCCATCGTCTCTTCCTCCTGCCTCTTGAGTCCATCAGCCACAGTCTGGATGGCAGTGGTCCACTCCTCCCTGCAGGGGGTCAAGTGAGGCCCTGGGCACGAACAAGGCCTCCACCATGGCCTTCACATACTACTGGCCTGGCTGTCTGACCCTGAAGCTGAAAGAGGCCACCCAGAACCTGGACCTCCACACACTCATGAGTGTCAGGAAACTGTCTTGGTCATGGGACACTCATCCTCTCCCCACCATTCCTCACCCAACCCCCAAAAGTGGACCAAGCCCAGTTTTCCAGAATGGACTCAGAGAGGCCTGCACTCCTAGGCAATGGCCCTGAGCAAGGGGCACACCCAATGTCGCAGCAGCCTATCCCACACTTGCCCACACACCGTTCCTCAGGCGTCTCCACATGGAAGGTACGCTCGATGACCGTGGTCCACTGCAGGCAACGGATGATGAAGGTGTTGGGCCTCGGCCGCTCTGTCTTCATCAGCTGACATTCTTAGGAGAGAGATCTGAAGCATTTATATGCACATGCCCATCTGCGCCTCCCCACAGCCCTGGCCAAGTGGGTCACATCCCCATGGACCCCATCCAACCTGTTCCAGGAAGCCCCATCCTACCCCTTCTTACAATTTATTTACTTATTACTTATTATTTATTTATTTACTTATTTACATTTGTATTTTTGAGACAGGGTCTCCCTGTAGACCCAGCTGGCCTGAAACTCACTATGTAGACCAGGCTGGCCTTGAACTCAGAGATCCATCTGCCTCTGCCTCAAACTTGTGGCAGTTCTCCTGCCTCTGCCTCCTGAGTGCTGGGATTATCGCTTAAGCCACCAATCTGCTCCATCCCCTCTTCAAGTCATATGTCCCTCAAAGAGCAGGGCCAGAACCCCCACTGGGGCTCTCCTCTGGAGAGATGTACCAAAGGAACTGGGTCAGTCATCCCTGAACCACAACCCATTCCAAAGTCCCTCCTTCCTTCAGTACACATATGCCCGGGGCACACACGCTTAGCACACACATACCTGGGGTACACACACCCAGATGTGCTGAGCCCCCACCTCATGCCAGGCCTCAGAGGGTGAGGAGCACTGATATCCCTGGGATGAGCCTGGGTACACAGCCCACCCAGCCCCTCTGGTACAGGAATATCTTGCTGTTTCTCCATCCATTTATAGAGCCCTTGGAGAATGTCTACACATCTCCAGCACCCACACTGGACGAGTATACCCAGGCCACACACACACCTGGAGCAAACAGCCAGGGCACACACTACATACCTGGAACACATACCCAGAGCACACACATACCTGGAACACACTCCCAGAGCACATACAGTGGGAATACATAAACCTAGAGCACATACAGACCTGGAGCACCCACCCAGAGCACATATACTTAAGAGTAAACAATTACCTAGCACACACCTCCAGAACACACACAGCATGTACACCTGGAGCACACACATACCCAGGGCACACACCCAGAGTACACACATACCTGGGGTACACATACCCAGAGCACACCCATCCCTGAAGCACACACCCAGAGCACACCCCTCCCTGGGCTACACACCCAGAGCACATCCCTCCCTGGGGTACACACCCAGAGCACACCCATCCCTGGAGTACACACCCCTCCCTGGGGTACACACCCCTCCCTGGGCTACACACACCCAGAGCACACGCCTCCCTGGGCTACACACACCCAGAGCACACCCCTCCCTGGGCTACACACACAGAGCACACCAATCCCTGGGGTACACACCCCTCCCTGGAGTACACACCCAGAGCACACCCCTCCCTGGAGTACACACCCAGAGCACACCCCTCCCTGGAGTACACACCCAGAGCACACCCCTCCCTGGAGTACACACCCAGAGCACACCCCTCCCTGGAGTACACACCCAGAGCACACCCCTCCCTGGAGTACACACCCAGAGCACACCCCTCCCTGGAGTACACACCCAGAGCACACCCCTCCCTGGAGTACACACCCAGAGCACACCCCTCCCTGGAGTACACACCCAGAGCACACCCCTCCCTGGAGTACACACCCAGAGCACACCCCTCCCTGGAGTACACACCCAGAGCACACCCCTCCCTGGAGTACACACCCAGAGCACACCCCTCCCTGGAGTACACACCCAGAGCACACCCCTCCCTGGAGTACACACCCAGAGCACACCCCTCCCTGGAGTACACACCCAGAGCACACCCCTCCCTGGAGTACACACCCAGAGCACACCCCTCCCTGGAGTACACACCCAGAGCACACCCCTCCCTGGAGTACACACCCAGAGCACACCCCTCCCTGGAGTACACACCCAGAGCACACCCCTCCCTGGAGTACACACCCAGAGCACACCCCTCCCTGGAGTACACACCCAGAGCACACCCCTCCCTGGAGTACACACCCAGAGCACACCCCTCCCTGGAGTACACACCCAGAGCACACCCCTCCCTGGAGTACACACCCAGAGCACACCCCTCCCTGGAGTACACACCCAGAGCACACCCCTCCCTGGAGTACACACCCAGAGCACACCCCTCCCTGGAGTACACACCCAGAGCACACCCCTCCCTGGAGTACACACCCAGAGCACACCCCTCCCTGGAGTACACACCCAGAGCACACCCCTCCCTGGAGTACACACCCAGAGCACACCCCTCCCTGGAGTACACACCCAGAGCACACCCCTCCCTGGAGTACACACCCAGAGCACACCCCTCCCTGGAGTACACACCCAGAGCACACCCCTCCCTGGAGTACACACCCAGAGCACACCCCTCCCTGGAGTACACACCCAGAGCACACCCCTCCCTGGAGTACACACCCAGAGCACACCCCTCCCTGGAGTACACACCCAGAGCACACCCCTCCCTGGGGTACACACCCAGAGCACACCCATCCCTGGGCTACACACACCCAGAGCACACCCCTCCCTGGGCTACACACCCAGAGCACACCCCTCCCTGGGCTACACACACCCAGAATACACATATACCCGGGGCACACAAACTTAGCACGCACACACACCGCACATACACCTGGAGCACAGAAACCCGAGGCACATATCTAGAGCACACACCTACAGGGGTGGATCATGGGAATGGCCCAGGCCCTGAGGGGTGAGGGGTGCTTGCAGCAAGAGGGCTTCCTGGCTGGACTCTGTAAGGCGGGAGGGGCTGAGAGGCCAGCGGAGGGGCTGAGAGGCCAGCGGAGGGGCCTCCTGCATTCCAGCGTCTAGGCCCTGGCAATGTAAGGAGCCTGCTAGGCTCCAATGAGTGGGGGGGGGGGGGCATTCTGCCAAACCAGGGGCCAAGAGGAGCTTGGGGCCCAGCCTTGGGGGAACTGTGTCAACACTGAGTGGAGAGACTGAAAATCAACCTAGGCCTTGTCCCAAGCACGTAGCCTCCCATTCACTCTGGGACAGCCTGTCAGGCAAGCAGATGAACACCAGCGACAACCTGGGTCTCAAGTCCCCTCCTACTAGAACCCATCTCCAAGGAAAAGCCCTCTACACAGCCCCACCCAACTCTGCTTCCTGCTAGGTATAAGCCGCCCTCCTCCTGAGGTCCAAGGCCTTATCTGAAGGCCCAGCCCTGCCTATTGCTCAGCAGCCCCTTTCGCTGGTGCCCACACCTACGTGTCTGCTCCAAAGAAGTCTACTTCCTCCTTTCCACCCTACAAGTAGGCTAGGAGTCCTTTCCCATCTGATTGAAGAGGCAACAACCTAAACTAAGCCTTTCTGAGGCTCTGGAGCAGAACCTGGGGACCAGCCAAGTCAAAGATGGAGGCCCTAGGATCCCAGGCAGGTCAAACAGAGCTACCTTCAGGGCAGGGGCAGATTAAGAAAGGATGCAGACTATGCTACAGGGGGCTGTACTCTGTACTCTAGCTACAATCCCAGAGTCCAAGGTTAGGAACCCCCATGACTCAGACATGCCACAACTGCACACTTTCAAAACACTCAGTCATGCCCACACTCCCAGCTAAGCCCCTGGTCTGTCCCAGGCAGAGCCGGTTGATCATAATGTGGCACAGAGAACGAGGACCCAGGTTCCCAAAGGTAGAGTCTCACAGCACCCCCAACCCTATCACCCTTGTCCCACCTCTCACTAGTACCCTAGCTGGGGGTTGGGGGTAAGGACAACACAGGAGGGGCAGAAGACCTGCAGGGCAAGGGGCCTTTGACAGTCTTCCCAGGAGAGCTACAATGGTGGATCCTGGGGTGGTGTAGGCTCCCAGAGCTGGGTGTCTCTCCTACCCTCCTCCTACTGTACCTCAGAGTTCCCAGTGAAAGCCCTTGGCTGGCTGTTTAGCATTCCCCCCCCACACACACACACACTGGAGAGGCCCTGGTCAGTCCACCCACTAAGAACACGCTCAGTCACTACATGCTGGACCCTCCAGCCTTCCTAGCAAGGGCACCTAAGCCCAGCCAGAGCTGGCCATTCACAGGGCCTAAAGGAGGCTGTGCCCAGCCTGCATCTAGGACACAGAAGCCAAGGGGAATGCTCCTTAGGAAGCCCAGTGGGCACAGAGGCTTCAGTTCTTTCAAACCGAGAGCTGAGGAGACACTTACGTGCCACTGAGAAGTTGTTGAGGGGGGTCTCACGCTGCTCCACATCCTGAGGCCGCTCCTTGTAGCCAATAAAGGTACCATCGTTCTTGAGGAGGAAGTAGCGAGGCCGCCAGGTCTTGATGTATTCCCCTGTGGGGGTGAGACATGAGGAGCTACATGTGGCCATCCAGTGGGCACTACAGCCATGCTGAGAAACAGCTTGGGCCAGAGAGAGACAGCCCTGCATCTATGGGAAGGCAGCTGCGACATCTGAGGCAACCCAGGCACCTGGACGTAGGTGAAGAGCACAGTACGAGGCAGGGAAGGGCTCTGGGCCACTGTGCGGCCCTCCCAGCAAGCACTGGCACTAAGGCACAGCTACCCTCCCACCCTGGAGAGCACTGCCTGTGTGGAGCTGAGAGCATCCTCTGGGGCTCTGCCTGTGTAACAGATCCAGGAGAAGCCTTGGCCAGCACAGCAGTGCTCAACAACAGCTGAGACCTGTGCTGTGCCCAGCAGAGTCCCACCCTGGGTCACTCAGTCCCACCCTGGGTCACCCAGGTACACGGGAACATTTTCCCTCAAGTTTTGCAACATCAGCCGTAAACAGGCGCCCACACTCAAGAATCAGAGCAGATGTCCTTTGTGATCTCCCAGAGACTGTCATTTTTCATACTGACACTGGAAAAAAATGTTTCATTTACATTTTGCCGAGCAAGGAGTCTGAACAACAGGGAACTAAGTAATTAGGCAACTTCTTCATCTGAGGGGACACCAGGCTAAGGGCGGGAGGATGGCCCAGAGGACTCGAGTCCCCAAGTTCTAGGACAAATTCTACCTACCAAATTTGGCCCTGAACAAGGGCACCTGAGAGGGATGTAGGACTTGGACCAGGCTACCTGCCACCAGGCCTTCTGGTGAGGTCCAGATACCCCAGCACACAGACCAAGTCACAGAGTGTTGGGGACCCCTGCTGTTTTAGGTCGCAGTCTCTCCATGTCCGGATAGCCGCAAGCCGGCTAAGCGTTCTTATGCAGAGACTCCCTTTCTCAGCGGGGTGCCTTCCTACTCTCTCCCTGACTCACCTTTGAAGTGCCCGTCACAGATACATGTCCTCTGGCACAGAAACTACCAGGTTTTTCCTGTGTGATAATCAGGCACTGTCTGACAGCCTGATAGAAGCCCACCGCCACATGTAAATGGGGCATCCCAGGAGCACCTATCAACTGAGGCTTTTGCTACTGCCTCCACACTATAAATCTTCTGGTTTCACCCCAATAAAGCGGAGCTGTATCACTGAGTCTGACTGAGCTGTATCCTGTGTCTTACTGCCTACGATTCAGTCTCCCTGGAGGGGGCTATCCTTCCGTCAATAACCACTCGCGAAGATCTTGCTTTCGCCGTTCCTGCACCTCCCCTCGTGATCTGGTGGCCAACGGATCGCATAGACAGAGGGAGCGTCCGGCAGCTTGGAATGGAACCCACCCGGCAGCTGACAGCGACCCTCAGAGTCGCCAGCATCTGGTAGCCGTGGAGAGCCAGGGACCTGCACAGCAACGTGGTGCGTGAAATCTGCGCACCCCAGCAACAACAGAGTCAGGGACTGGGAGCTCAGGCCCAGGCAGTATACCTCATCCCCTCTCCACAGCCCCAGGGTGGCTGACCAGCTCTTTCTCTATTCTCTACCAACCTAGGAGTCCCCTGGGAACACTTTTCTAGGTGGGGCCCAGTCCACCCACCTGTGTACCAGCTCTGACTTCTTCTAGCTCTCAGGACCTTCCAGGACACAGGCAGCAGGGACTCCAGGCAGCAATATTGCAGGGCTCCACCCATGACCCACCACTCCCATCCCCACCATCCCACCCCTTCCAATCAACACTTCCAAAGGCCAGCCTCATTCTGTATGACCCTGAATGACCCCGTACTGAGAGGAGCTGACAAGGCCTGAGTGGTGGAAGGAGGCTGCTGGGGAGCCCTGGAAATGAGCGGCCAGAACCACTATCAGGCTAAGACCACAGCTCCGAGGGGCCAGCAGCCACGGCCTTTCTCTATGGTCACTGCAACCTACCAGGTCTGGCATCAACAGTGACGTGGACCCCAGCCAGCCCCACAATGGTTAGGGGAGGCCCAGCAAAAAGCACCAGCCCCTCCTTACTCTGGTGCATGCCCAAATGTGGCTGGGGTTCCTCCAAGGGGACAGGTAAGATCTGCCTGCTTCTCCCTGGCCTACAGTTTACACATGGCTACCACAACACCTATAAACCCTCCTTCCCCCCAATCTTTGGCTTCCAGAAGCCCAGCTTGCCAGCCCAACCACCTCCCAGTTACTGGGGCCTCATGGCAGTGGTCAAAGCCAATCCTCTGGATAAGGGTCTGAGGCCTCAGCAACCTGACTACATCCCAACAACACTGAACAGGGTCCTCACCCAGCTCTGCAGAGTTCTGGGCCCCTGCAGGCACCAGCTCCTGCTCCCAGCCAGGTGGTACACACCTGCAAGTATTCACATGCCCAGCAGCCTCGTGACAACCCCCTCCCCTGGCACAGGGACTAGAAGGCAGAGTGGGCAGGGGGCTCTGGGAAAGATAGCAAAGCCACTGGGGGGTAGTGCAACCCACCCCAAACTGTTCTATACTGGGCCACCCGCCGCGCGTGCCCACCCGCCAGCACCAGTCTGGAGCTGTCGGCCCCTGATGGAGTGCCTCCCATCTCACCAGCTGCCGCTCCCCGGGACACTAACTGAGCGCAGAGGCTGATGATCAACGCACCCGTGCCCCAGAAATCCATCTTGATCCGCCAACTGCTGCCTGACCCTACTGTGCCCAGTGCAGCCCCAGACCCACACTCAGACCATCACCCTGACCCTGCATCGCTTCTAACTGGCTCTCAGCCTACACACTCAGCCCCCAGACCAGGCAGGGTCTGGGATGTGGATCTAGGGGTTTAGGCAGGGCAGGCCAAGACGTGGCATTCACCAGGCAAAGGCTGAGGCAAGCACTCAGTCCCAAGAACTCACAAAAGGGTCTAGGTGCCCTTCCCACCTTAGCCTGCACAAAGGCCACATGGCCCAGGAGACGTGTAAGTGAAGTGACCTCATCAGGCCTTTCCCTGTGGCAGCCTCCTTCCAGAGGAGAAAAGGGGGCCCTAGGGCTACGGCTCTAACACACACAGATCTCTTTCATCATTCCCCGCCTCAAGGTCCAGCCAAGTGGTCACTTGGGGGTGCTGGCTGGGCCAGCTGCAGCCTGGGCCATGGTCTGCATGTTAATGAATTTAGCCAGACAGGACACCAGCAGGCGGCCAGACCACCTCCCCACTGCAGGACTAGGCCAGCACAAGACAGACAAATGGAGGAGGTGGCTGCCCTGGTCCCACATGGCTACCAAATGCCTAGGGGTACACCCTGTCCCCCTGCAAGTTTCTGGCTGGGACACGGACACTGACAGCCCTCCCTCCAGCTCTTCACACCCCATCAGGGAGGGCCTGACCCAGAGCCATTCTGTCCTCTATCTGTGGAGGGGCTGGGTGCCAGCTCTTGGCTCCTTCACGCCCTGCACTTGGGCAAGGCAGTCCAGTAGGGAAAGCATAGCATCAGCAGGAGCCCTCCACCTGCCTGCACAGTCTGTGGGGGGCACAGGCCCACATGGCCAACCAGAGGTGTCTGGCTCTACTCAGAATACCCTTACCAGGCCTGTGAGCACACAGACATGGACAGATCACAAATGACCAGCCCAAGTCTGTCCCCCATATGTCACCTCCATGATGTGGTCTCCATGGCTCCTTAGGCCAGATGCCTGCCCTACAGCTGGGAATCTCCTAACATTCTGACAACCTCTCAGTGGGAAACAAAAGCCAGCAAAACAGCAGATACCAGGGGCCAAGCCCAGCCCTGATGTTACAGTGGGCCCAGCTTCCTCCATACACATCCTCAAGTTCACCGGAGAGCTCCCACACACCTGCTAGAAGAGGTAGTGTTCATCCCCACTTGAGGGTCTACCCCACTCTCCTGCCCCAAGGTAGAGGCAAGGGCTTCCCACAACTCTAGGGCTCCCTCAGGTTCACTATACCCACCCTCCAAGACCAGGTCCTGTCCAGCCCTGGGGAAGGGGGACCCAGGGACCCCACTCATCAACACCCTCTGGGCCCTCCGCCCTCAAGGCCTAGATCCTCCAGCATCCCTGTGAGGCTGCTGGATGATGGGGTTCTAATAGGATTATCGCCCCAAGATGCCCCCACCTGTCTGCCCCCCCACAGTAGAGCGTCACACCAGGATCACACAGTCAGAGGCTCAGGGCCCAGACAACCAAGTCTTGAAGCCTGCCCTCCCAAGGCCTGGGCCATATAGCTCAAGCCCTCCTAGACACAACCTAGGGCACCTTGTCCTAGACTCAACTAGAGTCCCCCATGCTGGCCTGGCTCTTGTGTCCTGGGTACCGTGAACATTCTCTCCAAGTTCCCAGCTCTCAGGGAAACTGCTGGATAAACACTTTGCCGCAGTGGCAGTGGCAGGCAGCAGCTGGCGAGACGCCAGGCGGTACCGAGCTGTTTCTCCACAGCAAAGTGAGCCCCAGCAGGCCTGGGGAGCAGGCGCCAGCTGACAGTGGCGACCGCATGTCCCCCGCTACCAACACATCCATCGCACAGACAGCTGCTGGGTGCCCATTTACCTTCTCCAGCACATTGAGCAAGCGGTCTGCTGACGGCAGCCCGTTGGGGCTGTGCGCCCAGCTCTTGCTGCCTGCTGGGCAGTGGGTGGGCAGCAGGTGGCACAAGTCCTCTCCAAGGCCCAGCCTACCAGGCCTCTCCCCAGGCCTAGGGTTCCATGTCTCCTGACCCAAACACGCCCAGTGACCCAGAGCTGGGCAAAGGCAGGAGTGGGAGTGTGTGCCACCCACATGCAGGTAGATCTCCAGGCCTGGTGTCACCAGGTACAGCTCAGGCTGAGTCCTTCTGAGAACAGCACTCAGGTGGGTCCTCCCAGGGTAGGGCACGAATGACCAGCCTGGATGCCAAGTGCCCCTGCAGAGGTCTTGCCATCCCTATAGCCCTCAGCCATCCTGCTTCACCAGAGGCCCCCTTCAGACACAGACCCCACCCGCCATCCCTATACTGTTACCCATTCCTCCCTTCCCACCTGGTATGTGGCATAGCC